GCTGCTTGCATTCCTGACGCGGGTGCTGCTGAACGACTTTGTTGCCTAGAGAAAAACGGAGACAAACAAATGAATGGGAAAGGGGCACGTTGAAGAGTGGGAAACCTAATCCATGCGAGGGTTTCCTCCACGCTGGAGCTGTAGCACCCTTCTCTGGGCTCCCGACGGGGTGGAGCGGGCTGGGTGCCGGCTGCCGGCACTTCGTTGGCGAATGGGATCCGGCTCGGTGACGAAGGGGAAGGGCTCTGCATCGTAATGGTTTTTTCATCAAACAAATAGACCTCCTTTGTATTTTGCTTTCAGGCCAGATGGACTCATGTATCAAATGTTTCGCAGTCAATTTTTAGCATTTTCAATATTTCAGAGTGAGTATGTCTTACCTTGCTAATTCATGGGATAAAATGGTTTTGTTTCTTATGTACTTAGGAGAAAACACTTCTGCGTGGTAAATACTGGAGTATTAAACTGTAGGAATATAAAGATAGCATACAAATAGGCAATGTACAAATAGAAACAATAATTACTTGCTATGGGGTTAAACATTATTAAAATAGTTTGACATGTTTATCATAGTCCTGAATAGCCAAACGCTTTATCTCTCCTTCTCCAGGTTGTGTTCAGTTCCTACAGTATTATTATCAAAGGGGCTGCCTTTATAGACTCCGTGCTTTGGGGGAGAGAAACCACTTGGACCTTACAGTAGGTGAGGTTTTCTGCAATACTCAGTTTGCAAAGGTCTCTGTGCCCTCTTGGGAGAATTAAGGTGGAGGTTTTTGGTCGTCCCCAACTTCATCCACCTCCTATTACCACACTTTCCAGTATTGATTTCAAATTGGTTGGTTAGTGCGGAGCAGGACGGGAATAGCCCTTATGGGGGTGGGCCGGGTGGGGTGGGCTGGAGCTCAGGTCCTGGCTCTTCTGTGCTCACTCTCTGCCTCTTCTGTCAACCTTCTCCAGAAGGATTTCAGTCCTGGATGTGGCGGGGGCTGACGTTTCTCCTTCCCTTCCTGTTCTTTGGACACGTAAGTTGGGGGATCCTGTTCTGTGCCGGGCCTGGGAGGGTCTGCGACTGCAGATGCTTCGGATCCAAAGCAAAAGGTGCTTTGGATCTCACACACCCATGGCAAATGTTTCTAAGGTGCTTTGGGGGGTTATTTTTGCTAGTAATAAAAATGCTTTTTTTAATTCTTTCTTTCTTTCTTCTGTAGTTCTGGCAGCTATATAATGCAATCACACTTTTCGGATTGTCAAGGCATGAGGAATGCAAAGAATGGCAGGTGGGTGTTGGTTCTGCTCGGTAAAAGCACAGAGCAGAGCAGGGGGAGAGAGAATGTTTAACCGCATCCTTAAAAGGTATTTGGGCATCTGATCCCATCTAAATATCTTGGGATGATGTGGCACAGAGAAGTCAAAAATAAATGTGAGTTACTGGAGAGGAGCTGGCACCTGTGAGTGACCACGCCAACTGAAAGGCAGCAAGTGT